GAGACTGAGTTTCTGGAAGGCTGCTGCCACTTGAGGTCGGGGGGCACCTCCTCTCGTCGACAGTTTGGCACTGACGGCGGCGAAGAGAGAATCTCTGATTTCGCTGGTTACATCGTCGCCTTCACCGGTCTGTGTCTTACACTGGTAGGGACAATACATCTAGCATGGTGTTGCCCAATGTTTTGGCCGTTCGCGGACTGATTCTTCTGGGGCCAAACCTTTCCGAGAACTGCCGTGCCCTCCTTGATGGGGTGTTGTAGATCGCATCCTTGTCCTTGGTTGACGGGTCCTTTCCGGCGAGCATGGTGGGTGGGCCGGCTGGATTGCGTAACACTCGACTATTGGCGGCTCCAGGGACTTCCCATCGCCGGATCTCGTCGGGGGCCGGGGCGTTGTAGCTGTATGGCGAGTTCGGGACTCACCCACTCCCAGGCTTCGGCAGCCGTGCTGCGGGCCCAGGCAAGATTCCTATCGCTGGCGAATGGCTGCATCTTGCGCTGTTCGTTGACCACCCGTATGCTCCATTGACCCCTTCACATACCCGTACCAAAACGGCTGGTTGGACTGGATGGTACATCCAGGGGAGAAGCTGGGTGTCGGCGGAGCCGTACCGTCGCCTGTCCCCGGGTGCCTATCTTCGGAGTCCTTCCTTGGCGAGCCTTGGCCAGGGCTTGTTCACGCGCCGAACCTGCTTCCTGCTTGTATTTGGCGGCGCTCAGCGGCTTCGCTCGTTGTGCTCCGGCTGCCTCGTGTTCACGTAGGAGCTTCTTGGACGGCCATCTCAGTGGCTCGTTCTTGCTCATAGTTTGCTGCCGCGAGCCGCTTTTCTTCTTTGGCGACTTCCTCCTTAGCTCGTTCCTGGGCGGCCAGCTCCGAGATCTTTCGGGCTCTCTCTGCCTCGTTCAGCGACCTTCGGGTGTTTTCTTGCGGGCAGCGATCTTCTGATGACCCGGGAGGGGGTGCTGAAAGATCCCCGGTATCGCTCGAGAAGGTACCGGCGAGGCCGGGGGCTTCTTCGCCCTCGAAGGAGATCGACCCTCCCGTCCCTTGGTGCTTCCACCGAAAAAGCTCGTTTGGCGTCAGCGATCCCATGTTCACGGTTTCCCCCGTGATCCCGGGAGAGCTTCGGCGGGTCCTTCATGGAGCGCGGCTTTCGTCCTCAGCTCGCTCTTTGGTTGAAGAGCGGCCGTTTCGTGGGGGACAAGGCGGTACTACGATTCCGTCAAAGTATTTGTCATTGCGTCTAAGCACCCCTTCAAAGGAGTACCCCACCTGGTTGGACCGAGTAGCTCCTCGGTGGCCGGCTCGGTTACACTCGATACCACGGTCACTGAAACAAACAAAGACGGTACCTTTCATGACGAATCGGGTCGACAAAACATCTCCTTGCACACCTCGGCCGGTGTGCAAAACGCCGCATCTCCGACACCGGACCCTAAGGAGTCACACTGTGTGACCCGCCGCTGGCGTCATCAAACTCTAAATCCATGCTTACTTTTCTTAGAGTAAGGTTTGGCGAGGGAGGCGGTCACTGTCGGGCAGCAGATACTTTTTCAGGTTGCGGACGCTCACACTAATTACCCCCAGTCAAAAGGAAAATTGGTGTCGGGCGGCTGCAACTCTGGTTCAGAAAAAGTGAACCTGATTTGTAGCCGCCCGATTAGTAGTCCTTCTAGCTAGTCATCAACACCACATAGGCACACCACCTGTGCACCCGACACTTCGGTCCACCACCTCATCCTTGGATGAGTGGCTCTCCCGGATTCCTGTCCGTCAGTCTCCCTTATGGTCGGCTCCCTGTTATCTCATACTCTCCGTTCTGTAGAATCTCTTCATTCCCTGTCTGGGAAGGTGGGCGAGTTATGGTTGATTGAAAATATCCTCACTTTTGTGACGAATTCTTTTTCTCGGCAGTTTAAGACTTTACAGTACATAACTGTGTAGGATCCTACATAGGAGAGTCCTGTAAGATCCTACGGAACACTTAGGAAGCACCTCTATTGCTCTGGTACCGAAGCTACGTAGGATCCTACGTAAGAACCTCTATTAATTACATGGTCTTAATCTTCACCCGGTCTTACAGCATGTAAAATGACTTTTACTCTAGTTTTCCTTGGCCGCCCCTTCTTTTCCTGCTCCTTCTTCTACCCTATAATTTATTCAGCCTGAGCTTTCCAATGGTTCTCCAGCTTTCTCATTTTTTAATCCAGTAGAGCACTCCCAGTTTCCTTCTTAGATTAAGCTATACTCACTGTATGGTGAGATTGATCCTTTGCCCTTCGACACTTCCAAGGTGTCACTTTTTGTCGCGCTGGAAAGGTCCACGCAAAGACGAGGCTCTGGCGCTGGCTTCCATGGCTTCTTCGACAGCCTCTTGCTGCGCCTGCGTGGTGGGTCCTTTGTGGATCTCGCCGCCATACCGTACGGTATGTTCCTTTTTCCTTTTACGCTGCCAATGAGCACTAGGTCTTCACCAACTTCATCACAAGAAGCTGTTTGTGCATTCTGTGTGGCTCTCGTGGGGACGTGCCGGTACCTGTAGCACGGAACCGGTACACGTACCAAAGGTTGTTCGGAGGGGTAGCTCTGCCGGTTTTCAAAACCATTATCGTTCGTTTTTGAAGTTTTGTTCGACGAAAGCGTCCAAGATCGACGATGATGATAATGGCTTTGTTGTGGCTCGTCATATCATCCACCTTGTGTCGTGAACAAACATTGCCGGAACAGCAGGCTATTGGCTGAGAACATCCTAGTCTTATAGTATTGCGGAATGGCTCAAAAGGCGATTAAAAAGTACAAAGAAGTTAGGTTCGACCTAGCAAAGCAGCTCCAAGATCTTCAGCAGCAGCTTGCCGAGACCAAGCAGGAATTGAATCGACTGCGAGAGGATTCCGAGTGTGATGCCCAGTCCAGGGAGTTTACTCAGAAATTCACCATTGATGTTTCTCCACCACCGGAAAAGAAAGGATACCTCTTTCAATGGCAAGATCGCAGCATCGGGTGGGGCGGAACAAAATGGTCCCTGCTATTTGTGTCTTTGGAAACTGGAAGAATTGCTTGCTATGAATCACACATGGATCAATCACCCATTTCGGTGTTAAATCTCCGAGGTTGTGCCGTGCAAGATGAGGGGCGAAAGAGAGATCGAAAGTACAAGGAAAAGAGCAACCGCAAGAAGAATGGCGACTACAGAAATGAGGAAGAGGAACCTGGGTACTTTCATGTGTTTGGAATCATCCATAGACCGGAATCAGACGACAATGCTGAACAGAATGGTACAGATAATTCCTCCACGTTGCTCCCATTGTTACGGTTTTCTACAACGTCCGTGGCAGAGAAAAATCTATGGATGGATCTTATATCCTGCTCTTGCGCTTACTGTGAAACTGAAGATTTCATGAGGGGTGAAGCAGCCAGAGCTGCCGAGAGAGTCAAACAACAGGAAGAGCAAGCAAAGCTGTCACAGGCCATGCCAGGTGCTTCCAGAGGCACTCTACCTCCTCTCTACTTTGCCCCCAGCGTTCCAGAGCTGGAAAAGATGCAGAGACGGAAATCCATGTCCAAGATGCCCAAGTCTTCTTCGTTTCGAACCGTGACCAAGTCCCGAGATGCCGACAGTAGGGAAGCCCAATATCCTCCCTCCAAACCAATGCACGTAAAGGCTGCTCCCTCTTTTCTCAGTTCGGAAGCTCCCGTGCAAAACTACCGGGGATTGTTCAACTTGGCAATGATTCTTTTGGTTGTATCAAATTTTCGGCTCATTCTCGACACCATTCGGACACACGGGCTAGCACTTACCCATACCAAGAGCTACTTGAGTCATTTGTACAATCATTATTCAGAAGATCCATTCCATGAGTTCCCCGTCATGAGTGGTTTTCTGTTGCTGCAGGGGTTCCTTGTGGGGGCGTTTGGGATCGAATGGTTGCTGAGTCGGAACAAGCTCAGTGAGGCTCTGGGCATGACTCTCCACCACGTCAATACACACGCTACATTGCTGTCATGTATCTCTATAGTATGGAACCAAATCGAAAACCCCGCTGTAGGGGCAGCGCTGTTATTATATGCAACAATCACCTGGATGAAACTGATTTCGTATGCCTGTGCCAACGAAGATTACCGCCTTGCCATGAAATCGGGTGATGTCCATGCGATAGAGGCCCGCCTAGCGCTTTTGAACAATCTTGAACCCGACGACGAGAGCATTTCATATCCCATGTACGTGTGGGTGACGTGTATGACAATAGTTGCTTGCACCTTTGTGGTTTGCTCTCACAAGCCCATGCTGTTTCATGATACCGTCACGACAGGAATATCACCCTTGGCAATATCTACTACTTTTGGTTAGCTCCGACGTTGACGTACCAGATTGCTTTCCCTCGCACGCCTCGCGTTCGGATGAAAAGGGTGTTTGGCATCCTTTTAGGCATGATTGCCTGTGCGGCTCTCTTTACCTTCCTGGTGGCACAGATCGTCAACCCTGCTCTGAAACTCTTGGTCATTGACCTAAAGAAAACCAACGGTGTCTATACTCCTGGAATCTTGGCAGAATACTGGCTCAAGCTGGCGATTGCCAACACGTACTTGTGGCTTTTGACCTTCTATGCATACTTTCACTTGTACCTGAACTTTTGGGCCGAGGTCCTTCGGTTTGGAGATCGCGTGTTCTACAAGGACTGGTGGAACTCGTCCGAACTTGCGAGTTACTGGAGGCTATGGAACATGCCCGTGCATATGTGGTAAGAAAGCTGTGGTTCTCTGCTGTCTTTACCAGACCAGCCTTTTAGTGTGTTCATCTCTCGATTCTAACTGGAGCGCAACGTTTGTCTTGTCTCGATCAGGCTCATTCGCCACCTGTATTTTCCTTGCTTACGCATGAAGTTCTCCAAAGCGGGGGCTATGTTCGTTGTCTTTTTCGTCTCTGCGGTTTTGCATGAAGTTCTGGTATCCATTCCATTCCACATGATGAGACCTTGGTCATTCCTTGGAATGATGATGCAAATGCCGCTCATCATTTTCACAAAATCACTTGTGAGGAAGAATCCAGGTTCCAGCATTGGCAATGTCATCTTCTGGCTCGCGTTCTGTGTCGTGGGCCAACCCACTGCTGTGTTGATGTACACGGCCGATTATCAACTGGCCAAGGATCGTGCTGAGCTTGGAGAGAACACCACAGGAGTTACCAAGGTAGATTATCCTGCTGAGCTCCAAGGTTCTTGAACAAGTTGCAGAATCCTTGTTCCCAGCGGAGTACGTGTAATTCATTGTCTCTCGGCGGGTAAGAGAGGGATGGGCAAAGCTCTTTCAGTAGTGTAGTGTAGTGATCCAGGTCGGCCATTTCAAGCTCCACTGGGCCAAATTGGCTTGTCCGGATGACCCAGCTGACCTTGGACGAAACTATGAAGGTACAGACCAATTCATGGCTCGTACTGGACTAAGTATAAATTGTTCCTACATACATCCACCGACACACTTGGCCTAGCTAGCTCTTGGCCTACTACCTTCGTTGAAAACTCTTCCGCGATTTGCAATCCTTCATCAAAGGTTTTTCTCATATTGCGGGAGATGAGTGGGATTTATGCATAGCCCTGTGCTGGCAACCCCCGGTACCGCGCGCGTTCGGTAGTTGTGAAACGGCAAAGTGTGCTTCCAGAAATCTATGATGTTCGATTTCCTTCGATTTGACTCCAGCTCATTCGGCCGAATGGATCATCATTCATCCGGTCCTTTTCTCGCTTGCCACAATTTTTTTTAAAGAGAGGAAAGAAGAAACATGATGATATCACCCGCTTTAAACATCCTCTTTGCTGCCGCCATGATCGGTCCTGAGGCCGTGGCATTCACGTTGGTTCCTGCAGCTTCCCTGAGCCGAGTGACTTTTGCTGGTAGCTCCAAGCGCCATGCAGGTCGAGATCAGAAGTGGGATGTCGGCGTCGATGTGGCAAACGGAGTACACCCTTCTGTTGCCTTGGTCACTCCCATGGGCGTCCGGAACATGACAACGCGAGGGTCGGGTTTCATCGTCGACGCCGAGGAATTCCATCTCGATAGCCCAAGCCTCTACACTTATCTCATTACAGCAGCACACGTGGCGGCTCCTGGCTTTGACATTGGTTTGGCGTTTCCTGGCGAGTCACAGAATGCGCCTGCTACAGTTGTAGGACGCAATCAAACCTTGGACTTGGCTTTGCTCCGAATTGACAAAAGTGCCAATGTGCCACCAAGTCTTGCCATTGCCACAGATCTGCCACCAACTGGAACTACAGCTTTTGCACACGGATATCCTGCCAGTCGACTGCGTGGACCCGCCATGACATCTGGCATAGTTTGTGGCATCGCTGATGGCCTAGGGTTGCCCAGCAGCAGCAGTGACGATAACAACATGATGAACGCCGCATTTTATCCAACTGGCATTCTCCAAAACAATGATCCCACTACTTTTGTAGTCACAGATGCAGCCATGTCAGGCGGCATGAGTGGTGGCCCTCTGACGGATGCCAATGGCAATGTTTTGGGCGTGAACGCTTTGGTTCGGCCGGACTTGCGAGCACTGGGAAATTATGCTGTCAGTGTCGAAGAGGTGAAAAAGTTCTTGGCAGACGTGCAAACTGTGGCTAAGGATACTGCCACTGCGGAAGAAGAAACGAATAGCCTGTTTGAAGTATTCCTATTCAATGATCCCATGAATAAGAAGCAACGAGTAGCAACTGTTTTAGAAGGAGTTGCCCAAATGAACGAGAAGGATGCCAACAAAGTCATGATGGAAGCACACACAACTGGGAAAGGAGTCATCCGTTCGTTTCACGATCGTCAGGAGGCTGACCAGTTGTGCAAGGCTCTGAGAAAGGAGGATCTGCTAGTGGAGGTCCAATAGTACATACAAGTAACTTTTAAAAGCAGGACATGCCCATAGAATTTCATCGTTTTGCAACTTGCTCCGCTACTAGATCTAAGTACAGTTTGAAAACAGATCATTCCATAGCGCTAGTCTACCTCCCAATCCAGGAAAGGACAAGACAGGGAGATCATCTCGGTCATTTGCTTTTTGCTTTTCTCCTACCGGTACGAGGCAAGATGCTCCTTACTGGCAGCTAGTAGCTGGCTAGATAATGTAGGATCTTAGGTGAGAGCTTACTAGCCAAGTCTTCCCAGCAGCCGTAGATAATAGCAAACCCCTGCTCCACAGCTAGCCACTACCACGTATGACATACTAGCTCCCCCTTCCAAACTTCCCTTGCTAGCTGGCTAGCTAGCCGGGCTGAGAAGCAACCTGCAGAGCTGAAGAGGCAGCCGAGTTTGGATCTTTCAAAAGTTGAGCGGACTGCCAACAAAACCACAAATGCGATCTGTTATCCTCTGTTTGCTGTACATGACATTGTATTGGTAGAAGAGAGCGGCTTGGCCTATCGATACACCGTTGAGAGTTAACACTCCATAGATAACACAGCTGAGGTGACTACTGATCTGAGGAAAAGAAGGAGGAACCGAGTTCTCTGTGTGGAGCATCGCTTTCAGAGCTAATATCTGGTAGGGTCTCTATTAAAAACATGTCCTTTATTACGGGTGGCCACTCGGATGAGCGAGTGATTGCTCAAGCGGCTCTCGACGCTGCCGATGAGCAACTGCAATCTTTGGTGGCGAGTCATGCTGGGACCTTTGTGTCCGTCCAACGCCGTGGGCAGGCTCTGGAGGCGGCATTGAAGGAATTGCTGGCTTCGGTGAAGAATGTGGCCTCGCAGATGGACACTGCGCAACAATCATTGGAACAAGACGAAGATCAAGAGGAATCATTGGCAGCTCTCTCGGAGCGTCATCGTGTGCGACGAAGGACGCTTCTTCAGCACTCTTCTCTGTTGGAACTCTTGGAGTTGCCATCGCTCATGGATGCCTGTGTGCGGTCCAATTTGTACGAAGAAGCACTCAGTATTGCCACCTTTGCCAACACTCTGGAGCGACGCCATACGGAGAAAAATGTCGTGGTCGACCGTGTCATTGCACAAATCCGATCGCGACAATCCGATTTGCGCCGTCATCTACTCTTTCGATTGAAGGGTCATGTCACCATGCCCCAGTGCCTCGAGGTGGTGACCGCTCTACGACGATTGAATTCTATCGACCTCGAAAGCACCGGCGAAGAAAACTTGGATCGCGTCCACAAATCCATGGAATTGAGATTGCAAATTGATTTTTTGGAGGCACGAGATGCCTGGTTGGAGGCAACCAATGCATCTTCCAATGTGGCTCCCATTGCCAAAGTACCCGTGGGATCTTCCGAACAGCTACTTGATACCATTGAACGTTATCGAACAAGGTACGAGGGAAGATGCAGAGATGACAATCCAACATTAGTCCCTGGCAGATCGATTTTCCTATCGTGCTCCAAACACAATTTGTCTAACTCTCTTTCTCTTCTTTTGTTGGGATACCAGGATGTTTGAGGTGGCGACTCAATACAATGCCATTTTTAGAGCCCAAACCAAAGCGCCCGGGGGATCAACATCGCTTCTCAGCATGTGGACATCACGTCGGGTACACTCGTTTCTAACCATGTTGTCGGGACAAATGCTTATGATGGAAGATGCCGGGGCACTTCGTGATGCCCTAGAGGCCAGTGTCTTTTTCTCCACTTCCATGGGAAGGTTGGGTGCGGATTTTACGGCTCAATTGCCACCTTTGTTTGAAGCTCGCATGCAGACGCTCGTCGAACAGGCGTGGAAGGAGGTACCGCTGCACTTGGAAGAAACCCTCAAGGTATGTCGTGATGCGGGAGTGGCGGCCCCTTTGGTGAGTCATAATGTGCCCCCGGAGGCTTCGGCTGCCGCAACCGTGGAAGGACAGCCCATGGCGCCGCCTCGATCCCTCATGGCACTCCCACCCCTGGCTCGAGTGGTCAATGCGATCCTTGTGGGATTGAACGATCTCCGACGTTGTCTTTTGCCCGGCATCTTTACGCAATTGCGAGGTGCACTCGAAGAGAATATCAAGGAGGTAAGAGCCATTCTTTCGGCCAATGAAAAGGCTGTGAATTCCTCCACCATTCGTGGCGAAAAACGAGAACTGAGGGAAGCAGCTTCCAAAATGAGGACAACCTTCAAAGACTATGTGGAACCCTACCTCCGTGGGTCTTTGGAAATGGCTCTGGGTAACTTTGCCGCCGCAGAGGAGCATTATGAGCAGCTACGAAAGAAACAAGAAGAATCGGAGAAAAAGGCCGAAGAGGAGAAAGCTGCAGCCGATGCGGAAAAGCGAGAAGCGGAGGAATCCAAAGAAGAGGAAGTCGTGGAAGGTGATGCGGAAGAAACAGAACAGACACCTCCACCTGCCGATACTAGTGCGGATGCAACAACTAGCAACACGCCACCAGCGGAAGTTGAGGATGCTGGTGCGACCAACACGGATCCGCAAGAGTAGTGTGTTCCGAGACGACACAGCAATGGTGGCCGGGGTGGAAGCCATTCCAGACCCAACCCATCCGAGCTGAGAAGAACATCACAGATACATAATCTAATAGTTGCCTAAAAGTTTCAAGGTGTAGTAGGCGTTCTGTCTAAGCCCACGCCAGTCAAGTTTTTGCTGCTGCCGCGATCTGGTAAGATTGGGTCCTTAAAGTCAAAGAGTGTACACGAACACCTCCTAGCTCGATATGTGGGTGTACGACAAATAAATATACAGATCCTAATTTCCATTATGACACCGCCCGACACCTTTGCTAGATTGGGCCATGTCGATTTGGTGGCTCGGAAGTGGTAGCCAGACAACTAACTCTCTTCACTGACTTTCACAAGATACTCCTGCACAATTTGTTCCCCTTTCTCGGCCCACTCCCTGCGATTTGCCTGAGCATAACTCAAATACTCGTCACTTGAAACCCCAAATACACCGCATTCCTTCAGTTTCTTGGCGAGCTATGTTGATGGAATAAAGCACAAGCGTAAGTAAAGTTGTAATGTAACGGGGGTTGGGGGTCGAAACGTCGAAACCTACCGGAATGATGTAGAAGTCAAAGAAACCAATTTCGCCCTTGTACCAGAAGGTCGCAGGGTCAGCAGTGGATCTTCCTGATTTGTATGCACCCTGCATTTCTCTAAAGAGACGCTCGTTCCTGTGAACAGGCAGAGGAGACAGTAAGCAACGATCTCGAAACAAAGCTACTCAAAAACAAACATTGACGGAAGACGTACCACTTCCTGTAGATGTGCCAGTGTTGCATTGTGTGTGCAATGTCGGATGCCTGCATAATGTGCTCAATCTGCATCACAAGGGAGTGGAGTGGTGAGCATCTGATGTTGGGTAATGGACTAATCCAGCTTCAGCAGGCACTGTACTTACCACAATGGTGGCCTTTCTATCCGTGTTTTCCTTCTCATCAGCATCATAGCAGCTTTCATTGAATGCTTTTTCCCATCGAGTGTTTCGTTTTGTCTTGAGTTCTTTATCTGCAATGTCCGTGGCCATTACCGACGCAACAACGACTTGGCGAAGCCGCTTGAGCTCTTGCTTGTTGCAGTAAATCATGCGGCGAAGATCTTCGTACGAATCCTGCATCAAGAGATCCCAGGCGACATCCACAGACCGAGATTCAGCCACACTCTTGTTCTTGTACTTGGCAGCCAGCTCGGTCCCTTCTTTCACCAGCTGAGCATTGGGAACACCACCATGGTCAACATCATGCACAAGTGCAGACAGAACCACAGCGAAACTTGTCAACGGGTCCTTGGACAAACCGTAACTGCTAAAGTCTGATTCCCCGCCCTTTGAGTCAGTGATCCGCGTCAGAAGTTTGTTCACAGACATGGTGACATGTGTGGCGTGCTCCCTAGTAGGAGACAAGCAAGATGTGAGTGGTACAAAGCCATCATGAATGCTTAGTGACGGGTGGAGCGTGCAATTTCTCGACACTTACCAGTTGTGGAAGTCGTTTTCGGAATGATAGAGGGAGGCAATGGAGGCAACGAAATCCCTCAGCTGGTCGGCCACGCTTTCACCAATTTTCACAGATTCTACATCAAGCTTGTTCTTGTCTCCCCTGGAATCGTATCCTGGCAGCGAAATAATGTCAGCAAGCTCGTCGAATGCAATTGTTCCTGGCTTTACGAGGACATCCTCGGCCATCCGCATTTCATCGGGCGCATCTGAGGCAATGCCCATGGTTTGACGGTGAGAGACAATGACCCGAAGCAAGCGCAACAAAATGTCTGTATTCCAATCCACCAAACGTCTGGACTTGGCGTCAAGCTTTCTGCTTGCACCCAAAGACGTCTGGATTGCTGGCGCCGGTTGCTCCAAGCTATGCTGAAGCTCATTTGTTCCGGTTGAGCTAGAATCGGTTCCAGAAGTTGACCCGGATATGGCAGACATGGCACTGTCGTTCTTGATAACTAGCCAGCACGTCTTCAGCTGACCCTTGCCCTTCACATCAACAACCTCTGTGCGGGGCACTACCCAGTGGCCTCGCCCCCCTTCAGTCAACAAATCGGCGGTGTCTTGCGAAATCTGAATTCTGTTTCTTTGGCCAGTTGACTCCATGCGAGCAGCAGTGTTAACTGTGTCGCCAAACAGCTAGGGTTTCAAGGCGGAGGGGTCGAGATGGTAAGCTCTTGCAAGAAAGGTGGTTGCACGAGACGAGCAAATCACCCATGCATCTTCGTTCTTACCTGAAATCTGGCTCTCTCGGCCCTGCATCATTCAAGGAAGCCATGGGAATGAGGACGGCGTGAGGAACGTACACTGGCTTGCTTGGCCAGAAGAGTCGATACGCACCTAAGAACCCCAGCAGTGACAGGTCCACTGTTCAAACCGATTCGAATGCCAAGCTCAGTCGTATCGGGTCCTGCAGGAATAGCAGTGAATCCGCATTGTGTCAGCGCATATCTTAGCAATGATATTGAAGCAAGGGAAGCACGGGCAGACTTACCAAGCTCCATCTCAAGCTTCTGCAGGAGAGGCCCAATGGCTTGCAGGCAATCTTGAGCGTATCTCGACATGATCACATGATGATTCTTCCTTTGCTGGGGGAGCCCGCAAACGGCAACATACTGAAGTGATAAGATCAAAGAGTGTTAGCTACACATACGTGTATCGACAAAAAGAGGTTAAGCGATGCATTCGCAGCAAACTCACACAGTCGCCAATTGTTTCCACTGCATCGACAAGAGAGGTAAAAGACAGGGGGTGAGCTGTGCGCTTTTCTTGCATGCTGCCTTTAGTTCTATCAGTCCTTACCCTTGAACACCCTCCTGCGATTCGCCATTTCATCGAAAGAGCTGTACAAAGTTTCCAGCAGGCGGAAGACTTGCTCTGGGGAACGCAGCGAGGACCAGGCAGTGAATCCTTCGAAGCAAGCAAGTGGCAGTCACGTGTGTGAGTCTTTGTTTGTGCAAGTGCAGACCCCTTGCTAGGCTTTGTCAACCTCGGTTGACACTTACCCACTAGATCAGCGAACATAACCGTGGCTTCGGGGTATAACCGAGCCAAAGCAGTTTGGTTGTTGATAGCACCCATTTCAGTCTGCCCAGCGGCCAAGGGGCCATTGGGCACGCTCTTCTCGTTGTTCTGTTTCTGCGCATGTTCTTCTTCCTTGCCTTGGTGAGCCTCGTTGATCATTTGCTTTCCAACTTCCGCAGGGAAGAGGGATGTCACAATGGCTTGAGTTGTCAAAGCGGTATTGATTGTCTTGTTTTGGCGCCTGGTGACAGTCCAATCGTAGAGGACGAAGAGTGCCATCACAACGGCAAACGCCAATGCAACAAGGGTTGTGTAGAGAGCAGGCCTGGATGTGGTGTAGCTGTCCCGAAGCTTTGAACTCGGGTAAAGATACAAATCATGGGTGCAGACGCCTTCCACTCGCTTCTGGTACATTTCAATGTTCTCTTCAATCCTGGCGTAGTCATTGAATTCAGGTTCGTGAAGATCTTCATACCCGAGGAAGTAGGCTTTGCTGGAACTCATGTCAAAGCTCATGACGTTGCCGCAATCGTCTTTCAAGACACCAAGAACACCATCCCTGCCATCAGGAAGAAGTCGATCCAGTAGGTTGCCGAAAGGAGTGATTCCCACAAGGATCCCAACGAGTTTCTGGTGTTCTGGTTCTGCGAGCTTGTCGTACACGGGTTGAAGAATGAATCCATGAGGGTCCTTCTTCATGTGTTTCTCTTCCGGGTCAAAGAGAAAGTCAAACTGAGTGGGAAGAAGAAAAGACACGTGAGGTCACTTCACAGACGACGATTCGTCCGCATCATCAACCCTGCCAGCCAACTCACCAGGTCGCCAACTTCAAAGTTGCTAGACAATACTCCAGAGTTCTTTCCAACGTCAAAGTTGCTGGTAGCATTTTCGTGCATCTTGAGCATGGACATGTATAAACTTGCAATGCGAGGATCGGAAAGCAGGTTGGCGTTCACCGCACCATAGTCAGCCGGAGAGACCTGCCAGAGAGGGGCATAGACATGACCGGGCTGCTGGAGTTCAGGCGCCTTCTCCCCGTTCTCCCATCTGTAAATGACGCTCGAGATGTTTTCTTCCTGTAGTCGACGGCGACGGTCATGCTCGTGATCTTGGATGGTCCCATGCAATGCATCTCTGTGGACTGGATGGACCTTCTTCAAGTAAGCACTCTCCTTGATCCACCCTTGGTTCGCCATGGTGTAGTTTGCCCACTCTTCCCGCTGTTCCTCTGTAACCAATGGTGCAAAGGCGGCAGACATGATTCCTCCCATGCCATCCACAAACCCACCAGAAATCTCGTACTGAGGTTCGGTATGGAAAGGGAAGGAGGAGTTCAAGTATCCAGCAGCAATCGAAATGGATGAACTGTGGCACATGACGTGAAGGGGAAGATAGACGATAGACACCGTGAGCAAGGCTGAAAGTAGTCATGGCTGACGCATACTGCAGGGCCCTGTAGTACAGGCATTGTTAAGAAAGGCAAGACTTACCTGAGCTGCTCCACCAGGGCAAAGTTGTAGCGGACTTCCCATCGCACCAGGGTTTGGACATCCTTGATGATACCCTCGTACTGTAGTACGGTATTCCAGTTCAGACAAAAGAGATGGTTAGGCAAGCGCACAAGGTAGTGACTACATGAGAGGCCCTACATGAAGAAGAAGAACATACCTCCAACTCGAAGCTGCTTTGATCGCTTCGCTTCGCAATCAAGTAAACAGCAATAGAGATGGCCAGGGCACAAATAGCAATGCCAGTTCCAACCAAACATCTGCTTCTCTTGACTGCCCTCTCTTCGTTCTTGATGACTGTATCTCTGAGCTCTTTGGCTCCATCGCTGCCACCCCTTTCCAAGTCCCGATTGGAAAACGTTGTCGCAGACTGGCCGCTTGAAGACCCCTCAATGTCCTCATCAAAGTCATCTTCATCGCGGTACCGCTCTTGAAGAATCTCCGAGTCCACCAAGGCATTAGCGGCAGAAATAGAAGTGTCTTTCATGTTTCTAAGGATGATAATAGACTAACTAAGGAGGAAGGGAGATATCTGATAATGAATGACCAGGGGATTGTGCTGGATGTGATTTCGTTTTTGTGGGAGGTGACTTTCGACTTTCGATGCCTAGCTACTAGTAGGCCTGGTAGCTGGTAGCTGGTAGCTCCCTCGTTAATGAGTGATCCCGTTGCCAGGCCTCACAAACAGGTTTTTGTGAAGGCTTCCTTTTGGTGGTCGGGGGAATGCGAAGTACAGTAGCTATGGAGTAGTCTAATGCAGAAATAAACCAGAAGAATGGCTCCTGTTCTTTGCTTAAGCCTGGCCCCGGCTGGCTTCCGTAGATAATTTCCCTACTCTAATCCCCCCCAAAACGAAGAATGGCTCCAAGTGGTTGGGTTTTGGTAGTTACCAGGTACATGTTCGTGTATGCCTATTGAGTTTTGTAATGGCCAAAGAAGCTGAGACATGGTACCGGTACTGGTACTAGTACCAGTACACTGGTACGAGTATAAAACTCATTATCAATCACCCGAACACCCGAACGGCAATCTTCAACATGTACCAGTGGGCGCACTCGAAGGGGCGAGGGCCGATTGACGAGTTGACGAGGGAGCAATCCGGTCCGCACGGGGGGAATGGAAACCAGTTAATCGTATGTACTAGCTAGTACTAGCGTACTAGCTACTACTAGCTACTACGCTACTACGATCTACGATCTACTAGCTAGCAAGGACGCACGACATCACGCGAGTTCTCCTACATCTACAGTATCAATTTTATGTATGAGCTCAGGAGGAGGAGGAATTCGTGGTGGTCAAATTTATTTAATGGATTGTGCCAGGTTGACGCTTAATTGCCAAAACTAATACTCCCAAGTGACTCGCAGACTCGCAGAGCTCTCAAAGATCCTTGTTACCAAGCAAATCTATCATACTAGCTCTGGCTAGTACCGGTACCGGTAGCTAGATCTAGCCAGTACAGCGTGCTCTGAGCTCTGAGTAGCTAGCTAGTAGCTAGCTCTACTACTATTAACTACTAGTAGTATTAATAGTAGCTACCTGGTAGAGTGTTTCAGCTAATGAATATGAATACAGGGGAATGGGGAAAACATGGCCTGCTATCTGGTAGCTAGTCTAGTACAGTGGGTATGTTTGGTGTCAAGAGGCGAAGTCGCGCTCAGTGCCACAGGTAGTGCTGAGTAGTTTTTATGTCAGCTGAAAGGGCCGATGTACTTTTGTGGTATTGGTCCTGATGCTTTTCAATTTCAATTGGGTATTTATTTACCCCAAAACTTTTCTGCATGCATGTGTGAGTCCACTACATTGCTCAGCTTAGAGTCATGGCGATATCATTCAGGTATTCAGGTCAGTTCAGGTTTACTTTGTCTTCAGCACTACCGGTACCGTAACAGTGCTGTGTGAGCTGCTGTGTGCAGGCAATACTGGTACCTGCTTGCGCCATTATCTCCCAAGACCAGTATTCCCAATGAATCCTTGCTTGGTCCCCTTACGTGACATACCTGAAGTGTGCGCCTCATAGCATGGGGTACGCAGTGTACGCACGGTATCACTCCTGACAGCCTTATCTCTAAATCGTACTCGTACAGTACTTCAAAATGATCAAGCATGGCTACTAGAGGAACATTTTTCCCCAATCCCCATAGCTTCCCCATGGGCTCATCTCTCAACAGCGACCTTTTTGTGCTTGATTGGAGAAGAGTTTGACCACTTTGACGACCGACCAGAACAGAAGGATTCTTGGTTATATCTTACTACTAGTCTTACACCTATGGCCGTAAACTAATTTATATCTTTACATGAAAACTAACATAAGCGGGCCGTGCCATTTGGGAGTGGCGCGAAGATAAGTTTGTGAAAAGCCCACCACGTTAAGCCATGCACCAAATGTCAACCATACTCCAATCGAGAAATGAGACCCCAGAATCAAACTGAAGGAACCCTCCAACACAATGGCATCCATCCATGCCGGGTATCAGAGAAAAGATAATAGGTAAGGAAAACAGCCATTATTCACTGTAATCGAACGATTGAGCAAGATGCAAGACCAGATTCTGACAACTGCTATCATCCTTGGGCCTTTTAACTGGAACATCAGGAGTGTCGTCGACCAACTCTTGTACAGCTTCCTGAGAATTAACAGACGAATCAGAGTCACAAAGGAAACTGGCAGCAACCTGGGAGAGCATGTCAGTGAAATGACGCTTTCTCTTGTTGGATCCTTCCTTCGAGTCAATCTCTGGATCCGTGATATCGCCAGAAGAGTCAGTGAAGGGGGTACCAGTGGTAGCCTGGGTCAGCATTTGTCCAGGGCTATTCTGTTCATGGGGATCTGTGATTTCGGAGGTGTTATCAAGGCCATCACAATCATCGTCACAATCGTCGTCATCCGTGTCAGACTCGGGCTTAAATTCAATCTGCAAAGAAGAGTCATCATCCCCATCCTGGCAATCATCCTCGCCATCGCTATCCACAGACAGATCAATGCAAGAAACATGACGGTCGTAGACATCGCGATAAGTGTCTTCGCAGTAGTCAAAGGCATCACACACCGCCTTGAACAACGCATCATCCCTGTTGGGATTGGGCATCACCAAAAAAATCAGGTGTAACACATCCAAGTCGCCGCTGTCAGGAAAGATGTTGGGATCCTGATTCAGAAAGAGCCGATGACCATCCTTGGAGTACTTGACAAAGTTGATACGCAAGACGTCTTCGAGTTGCAGAGGGGGAATCTCGGGATACTCGTTCCGGACTCGAACCAAGTTGAGGATCTTGCGACGGGTGTTGCCATGTTGAACCAGATCCATGCCGTCTTCCTTAAGTCGCAGAACCTGGCTTCTCACCCAGGACTGCTCAGCTTGGTAATGCACTGGATCAAGGTGGCGCACTTTGTTGGAGGGGGGAATTTCCTCATGGTGAAAGGAAGAAGAAGAAGACCCACTCGAATGAGGGGAAATCGGCTTAGAGAGTACAGGTGCCATGGTAGGACGGACGATCTGCTGATTATGCCAGGTCCACCTTCACAGGACCAACAACGAACAATTTACACCAACACTCCAGATGGAGTAGCAACTTGGAGTGCCACGGCGCTATCCAATGAAGCACAATTTTCGTTGGCATCAGGTTCAAATGGAAAGGAAGGAGTGATCCAGTTGCAATCGAAAAAAGGTTTTGGAATATTGCTTTCGAAAAAGAGCAACAAGACCACATCTTTTGCATGCACAAGAGGACTAAAGGCAGAGTAGAGCATTCGCTAGAGGGGATAATAAAAGCTAAGTACTAGATAACATTATTGTTTGATTCATAGGCATTCTTGTTCTCTTTCTCTGGTAGCGCTTTCCCAAGACGACCTACTAGTGTACGCACATGCTCATAGGCTTTGGTACCTGCATCGGCACTGCTGCCAAGCATTTGCCTGTACCGAGAGGTATTGTCATAGAAAGCGATGAGATTGTCACATAATTCGGTGTCGCTCATGGATCGAATAAGCCCCTCCATCTCCTTTCCTCTCGGGCACAACCAAAGATACCTTGTCACATTGACGAGCTGCTGTCTGTTGAGAGTACCGATGTACGCATCAAAGGAATGCAGCATCGCAGGAAGACATCTGCGCTTGTGTCCTTTCGCAGTGAGCCCACTCTCATACATGCCCTTAGTACCGCCCCTGGCTGCAACCTTCGCTGCACGTCCCTTGGAATTCGCACTTGTCTTCCTCTGAACTGCGAGTGTTGACTGCAGAAGTCCATACTTGCTTCTTAAGTAGATAGCACATGGACAGTTGTATCCCAAGTGCTTGAAGCAATCTTCGCAGTCGCCGACTATGGTCCCATCCTTCCATTGCAAATGACAAACAGCCCGTGTAGTAGCAACCATGGCATCTGCGATCTTGTCTCCTTGAAGCTTAGGGGAATTTGCAGTGCTTAGCATTGTCACGAATGGCCTCGAATCGCCCTCCAAAGCTGCGTTTATGAGTCGCATACGTTGCTTAGTGAAGGGTACACCGACCTTGTGCTTGATATTGCCAATCCAACCGGTAGGAGAATCGTTGCTCCTGTTGACACCGAGCTCGACAATGTCCATTCCCTCTCGCAAGAACCCAGTAACAGCCACCATCAACTGTGAACACGTATCCGGCACCAGGATTGTGCAAGGATCAGCTCTCTCGACAGCATCGTCTTTCAATAAACGTGGAGCGGTGTAAATGAGAAAGGCTGGAAGAGACGCATTCTTGGGACAATCTGCACAGATGCCCTTGATGCCATGTCTGTTAAAGCTCTCGTTCGGACAGTTTGAGGGGTAAACTCCACACTCTCCACTGCACGCATAATTCCAATTCCACTTTGGATGGCGGCAGTATTCCTTCTCGAAGTGATCCGCTGCAGCTGCCTCTCCTCTCTCTCTCCAGTTCTCCATGTACAGTCTTGTCACAACACTGCGTTGATCAACCGACTTAGTAGATGCGATGTTCGATACGTGCTTGTACGCCGTACCCTTCAGTTTCGTGCGTTCCTTGCCATTAGCAGCAAAGTCGGCATTCTTCATCTTCTTGACATAACCAGTCTTCTTCGCAAACGCCTGGACAACATGGAAGTAACAATTAAGTACAGCTTCGCCTTTCAGTTGACCATCATCGCTTTCGTCGCTATCGCTGATGTCTTCCTCCTGATAACAGTCTTGTGTGAGCTGAGTTAATGGTGGCAACTGGGATTGCTGTTCTGGAATCGCGACTTGTAGCTCTGACTCGGCATTGGCCAAATTACGTGAATCGGCATTGGCCAAATTACGTAAATAGGCCTCAGAACGCTGCATAACACTGTCGCACAGCCCAGGACTCTTGTTGAAGAAGACGTGAGAGGATACAAAAGTGTCGGCATCATCGGAAGTTCCCCAGTCAATGTTGAAGTGCAACCGGAATAGGTCCCAGCAGAGAAAACGCATTGCATACAGCGTCAAGCAGTATGGATGGAAACGTTCCCCTCCAGCACGAAGGTACACAATGGATCTATAAGACGCTGTCACTTCGTCTCTGGCTGGTTTACGTAGCTTCACTGACACAGATCCGATGGTTATGAGTGTGCTTCGATCTCTTATCATGCCTCCAGTGCCATCGGCACATAGCTGCCTCGTGCCCTTCCTGCGTTTGGCCAAGCTCAAGAGCTGAAACAGACCTGCTGGGCTGAATATGAAAAAGGCACCTTCCACCTTCTCTGCGAGTGTGGTGACATCGAAGTCTTGCATACCAGACAGTTTCATTCTGTACCTTTGCAACAATTTTCCTGTGCCGATGTTGTATATGTACATCTGCTCAGGTGACGCATTCAGTGCTTCAGACAACTGTTCAGCCGATGTGTAATCAGCTCTGGGTTTGTAGCTCGCTGGAACGACAAGTTTCCATTGATCCAGTACACGGAACAAGCCATCGTTGGTGGTTATGGCCTTGCTTCCCTTCAGTTGCGACTTCACGAACATCTCTCTCTTGTAGGAAACGTGGTTTCGAAGCTGTTTTGTTAGATTGTCTCGCTCCATTCGATCAGCTATTACGTGCTTGTGTTCGCTGTACTTCTCCTCTGTATCGTTTCGAATGATGTTTGTCACAGACTTGCGAATTTCGTCTGCAGTAATACGAAGGATACAACGGCCTCGGTTCAGTTCGGCTGCAACGAATGCATTCACGAGGGACACTATTACAGGGGGCATGCCGTATTGGTCCTTGTGGTGCATGGGTTTCTTGGACACTTCATGACTGTGTTCATCCATTCCCTTGCGAACATAGTTTCTGAACTGGCTGCTTGGATGAGATTGGCCTTCGTAATCACGTGTCTGGGCCCTCCATTCGCACTTCCACTCTCGCTGCATGGAATCAAGGCCTCGAGCTCGACAGCAGAACTTGTAGCATCGTACACCGTTGGCAAGTCTATATGTTCCATCCGCCATGATGCATTGCTGTCCATCGTAGAATCCACCATAGGCCTCGAATAGCTGGGTCTTCGCATCATCTTTCGTCCCACATGCATAGCATTTTGGATCTTCTACGTACTCACCATACTTTGTTGATGTTTCCTTTTTTGCATGGTTTGACTGGCTTTCCTTGGGTATGGCGATGGCGCTAGAAGTCCTTGGTTGCAAGTGGGGCGGTGCTTGCTTCGGTGCTGCAGCATAGCCCGTGTACGCATGGTAGGTTGGTGCAGGATAGTACTGATATGGGTGAGGGTACGGGTACGGGTAATGGCTATTGTACAGTCCATGATTTGGGTATCCCGTAAAGGGGAATACTTGCTGCTGTGAATACTGTCTGCGAACTTGGTTCCTTGCTCCATGGTAACTGTATTGTGATGGAGCACTATGATTGGTCTGGTTTGGGCGATTTTGGTTTGGGCGACTGCCCATTCCCATGTTCAGCGACGGCAATTTCTCATTTGGCGAACTCATCGCCAGCTATTGATCTACCTTCTCTACTTGGGAAACTGGCGATGATTTGCAACCGGTTAATCAAGCTCACTACTCTTTATCTATCTACGGGTTCACTGATCAGCGATGGATCCTTCTCCAAATTTATTCGTCTCCGAACCCAAAATCATGCCTGGAAATTGCTCTCTACCCCACCCAAACAGACTGTTTGCGACTTGGAAATTTCTGATCCAACTCCAAAAAGTGAGTGGCCAAGACCATGAGCAAGCCTATCGGCCACCTGGCTGGGCACATTGTTTGCCTCCTCTGTGGCGGGCCATTCGAATATGTGATTTGCCGCCAATATTTGAGGTTTTCTTGAAAATATACTCCTCGTTGATTCATTTTCTCGCAGAATTTCCCATTGCATCCCACCTTGGTGCATGGGGTTGTGTTCCCTCCTACAGTTCGGTTGTTGGCAATGATGGTCTGATCTGTGTTGCGGCGAGTTGGGCATTTCATGATGGTTGCCGGTGCTTTCATGGTCCTCGTGGGATTGTGGCTTGTTTCTCTTTTGCTGCTTGCTTCCATTGCCATGTACAGGGGGATACGGTGCAATTGAAGGGTTTTTTGGGGGTTTCATCTCTGACTTGGAAGATTTTGGAAACTTGGGAGCTTGGTAAGCGATACCCCTCCTCATTCGTGCCTGTTTTGACAAAGTGCGTCAGCGCGCCTGACTAACCCATTCTTTGCTGCGCCTGCAGGGTCTCGGCCTATGTGTAAGACCAGGAGTTAGTAACTCCCAGGATTCTTCTACAGGTGGACAGCCGGTAGACAATGTTTTTTTAAGAAGAATTATCAAAGGGTTCCCCGATGGTCTTTGGTCATTGGGCTACCGTCGCGCCTACAGAAACAGGTTCCGAAAACGATGAAATCACAGGAGTGAAACTCAATGTGATTTTAAAAAAGTTAAAACGTTAAAAAAACAGCTGGTGTAACAAAGGTCTCTTTGGCAACTTGGCAACCCAAATCTGCCAGTTTAACTGATGAGTGATGAGTGTACTATTACTGCGGGTAGTTGGTAGCTAGATTGTACTGTAACTTCCATAATACTCAGTAGATCTAGAGCGGATCTACTAGCTTCCTGTAGCTAGCTAGCTCACAAAACGATACCGCAACCAAGAAGAAACAGGAAAATGTGTTTGAAGAGCTGTTTGAAGGTTGCAGCTCTCTTCATCAGCCTTCCAGATGGAAGATTGAAGACCAAGAGGGAAAGTCCAGAAAGTCCCCTCACCAGCTCTAGTCTCTCTAGCTAGCTAGTAGAGTAGATTAGAGTAGAGTAGAGTAGAGTACGCACGAGTAGCTAGGTACTCTGGAAAGTGCAAGTCTGCCTAATAGTAGTTGCATTGACAGGCATCATGAGGCATCAATCTAAAAGGGAGAGGAAAGGCATTGGCTCTAATCTGGCTTGCAGAATGGAAAGTAGACTGTGTTGCCTTCCTGGCTTCTTGGAGCTTGCTCAATGGTGGCACAACCACGATTAGAGTAGGATTTCGAATCGGATTTAGAGTAGAGTTTCAAAGTTTCAAACTCT